CATAACTGTCCCTAACTTGGACAAGGCTGATGCTGCAAACCGGGTGAGCATTAAGGCTTTCGAGAATGATCTTGTCCGGGATAGCACGAATTCCGTTTCAGAGTGTCCATGACTGGTACATCGAATTAACGAAATATGGTATAACTGCAGATAACAAGATATCAATGGAAAATGCTGCAAAAACTGGTCATTACTCGCAGGTGTCACAAGCTTCTGTATCACCGTGAAGCAATAATACGCGATTATGCTGGCCATTCAGGTAGTTTGGCAAAAGTCAAACAGACTTGGATGTGCAGCGGTGTCCTGTCCAGAACAAAGAAAACTCTTTGTAGGTTGCGAATATTTACCAGGGTAAGTTTTCTCATCCCGCATAACGTTCCTCTTTAATTCGATTTCCAGAGGGAACACTCTTCACCATCTGATTTACGATATCGGAGAGCCATGCAAACGGGATGAAGATTGTAAGTGCAGCTCCTGCAGATGCAGCACACAGTTGTCCATGTGTATTAATCCGAATTAACAGGGACAATAAACTTCTCATTACGATTCCGAGTTAGAGGCGCTGAAGCAGAGGAAGTTTTAGATTGATCAACTCTTCACGACTGAGTCACGAGCTATTTCGCCGTAGTTTTAATGCAATTCGACTCGAAAGTGAATAGCGTAGGACAGCCGATGTACACGTTCCCAAATGTTCCACGGCTACGCTTTGGGACAGAAGGACCTTCGACCTAGGACAGGCGAATGTGGCCCTCTAATAGAGCTCGCGATAGGCCACGTCATTGCCACTACTGACACATACAGGGGGGCCAAAAAAGTCACTTCGACCGAGTCACATATCAGCAAAGTTTTCGCAGCCCAGACAGAGGACGTGGATACGAGTACCAGGGCGGAAGATACCCAAGATGTTCCTCGATAAGCAGGAGCTGGCTCTCGCCCATCACCTTCATGTACACCAAAATATGAAGTCATCTCCAGTCGCAGCCTGACTGGAGAAGACCTTTGGAATTCATGTCACCTCCAAACAGCTGCGAAACTTCTAGTATGGAGTCACCCATGGATAGCTACCTGGAGACCAGTACTCTCGATCTGGAAGACCTCCAACATCGAGCAGCTCCACAACGTCGCTACGGTCTAGGACATCATCTTCACCGCAGTCGCCAAGGCGCGGGTTGATGGTATGGACCGGACGTACCTGGAATGGGAAGACCGATATTTTCTTTGTAGACCCGGACTGAAGGTGAGCGCTGGCGGTTACATCGAGCAACTCGAGAAGAATATCCTCCCTACATGTCGTCGCCCGTACCTTCTTGGAAACTTTGTACTGCTACAGGTTTGGGTGCCACCACATGGAATCGAAGGGCGTTGGAAAAACTCTCGCCTACTTGGAATGGAAGGGCGTTTAGTACCTGAAGAAGATGAAATATTCAAGTATGTCCCCTGACCTAAACCCTCTCAATTACCGGGTTCGGGCGGAGCTCAACAAGGGGGTCTACAGTGGCCGAGAAATCAACTATCTCGCTGAAGCCAGGTACCGAATCACGGTTGCGTGGCAGAATCTCTCGACGGCGCTCCTCCAGAAGGCTGTGGCGGAGTATCATGATAGTATTTAATATGCTCTTTAATATGGTGGTAGAAATGTCCGATCAGAATTTGATAAAGTGTAACTTATAGCGCCTCGAAAGTCAAGGAAGGAAAGTGACTTTTTTTTGCCCCTCCCCCTGTATACTGACGCTGCATTGATCCCCCTCTATCGTGTCACTTAACAAATCAAGTGTTCAGATTACTGAGCGAAGTTTGTTGCTCTCTTCAGTACTGTCCCAACTAACCAATAATTCTATCCCACCTTAATGAGATCGTAGACATTTACTGATGCGTGCAAACTTGCCCAGTTTTCCGGAATAGAAGGGCTTGCGGGTCGCGCGATCAAAAATGATGGGGAGTGCGCTCAAGCAACATTGGCGTGCTGGTAAACCACTCCTTTGTGAAAAAGAAGCAGGAAGAAAACGGTCTCCGATACCTCGAGTAGGACGCTTTCCAATCCGAGGTTTCACGAGCCTAGCCCCTAGGGAGGAATCTTGTTTTTAGTATCGCAACGCATCATAATCACGGAGCATTATTGCTGTGGATTCCTCAACCGAGGGGTCAATTAGTTGATCTTTCTCATTTCAGGGACCCTGAAAAGGGGGCATATCGCATTTGGCCATTGTTGGGAGAGGGGAGTGGTCTTATTCGTTCTGGCTTTCTGAGAGAGGTTGTTGACTTTTCATGGTTTTTCCGGTTTCAAGTACGAAACCCCCTTCAAGAACCAGAACGGAGGTCCTAGTCAAAACTATGTAGTTAATGATTAACATAGAGCCTTGTGAAGTCAAGGGAACTGAGTGGGTTGGGCAAGAATGCTTGGAACGTGATTACTCACAAGGGGGAGACTCGGATTTCTTATGAGATGCAAGGCCCGCGATAAAGTATCATGGATATTAGATGCTCTGTCAACCAGGTTCGTGGTTCTCCAATGAAAAACTAAGCAAAAAAGCTTCAAAAACACCCCGAACGAGGGGAAAAAACAGACACAACTCGCAATAGAAAATAGCGCTGGAAAACTGCGTAATTAGGCCCGTGGTAGGCTGTGCACGACCAACTTTTGATGAATGGTGATCAAGTTAAGCGGAGCAAAAAGGTGCCTTCTGAAGTAATCTGCTATTGCTTGTTTATTCCCGAAAAAGAAAGCCGGGGAAAGTAGAACGACCAAGACTGCAAAATCGGCACGTAGCTGCGTATCCCTAGACGAGCCCGTGAGATCGCCCCATGACGCTGCAGGCCACTCGCGCGATAACTAGCGATGTAAGTTGTTGTCTAGTTGTCTGAAAACGGTAATGTGGTTGAAAGTCAGGGTCGTTGTCTGCACACACGTGAGAGTGGAAGCGATCCCTGTCGGGGCAGCAGTTATGCCACGCAAGGTTTTCCCGTAATGCTGCCATAGGCTAAGGGAAAATCGTAAAACTCATCTTTTGGATCCTGGTCATTGCCATGAGTGGGGAAAAAACGGGTTTGTGGCTGCCGTGGGGACCTACTTTCTCCAGTCAAAAAAAACAAGGGCTAGAGGCTAGTGACAGCTCAATCCCGTCTTCGTACTCCACCGCAGCGCCGCACAGCCGGCCATTACGGGTCGAGCCATACCTTCTCGGGCCCCTCAATCAGTGGCTGTCAACTCACACCTGGTGGTGCGCAGTGTTTTCGCTGCGGGATACTGGAGAAAAATGAGGCTTCTGCATGCTGCGGATGCTTTCTCACAACCCTGGCGCCGGAACGGCAGAGATCTGCATCCATGGAAATGATTGTGCAGTTTGCCTTTAAAGGTGACATCAGCACCATTCCGGCAGCTCTTGCATGGAACAGTCATTGCCTCAGCAAGTATCGGCTCCACCTTCCATGTGGTGAACGCATGAACCACTCTTGAAGACAGTTCCCGCGATCAAATGTCATAGATATTGGGTGTTCAGCTATGAGCTGATAAGCGATTCCCTAAAGAAGAAAAAAAGCCAAAACAGTCCTCAGCAACAAATTGCTCGTCACACACTTGACACCACAAATGCACAGTCGGCACACTCATTGTATGATTCTTGCTGACTTGCTGGCAACTCGACCCCTTGCAGTACGCAACCCCTGGCTCACAAATCGCTTTCGCGTCTTCTAGCGCTGGATGCCATCCAATGCAAAGAAGGGAAAACGGAAAACCAGCAAATAAAATAGCAAAATGCGTAACAGACAGTGACTTTTGAAATCATGTTTACAAAAGTCGGATACAATGCATTTCGAGCTTCCGCACTGAACAAATGCATCAACAATTGCATCGACCACGTCTTAGCTTACGAGAGGGATTGCTGTGTACCCACAAAGAAGATTATGGAAAAAAAAACTAGAGCAGAATCACTTATGAGCACAAGTACGGTCGACAAAAATGGATACCTGGTCCAGATTTATTACCGCCCATCCACCAAACAACAACTGAGCGCCCGCTGCGCATGGAGAGGGCCGTGTGGGTGGAGTCTCCAAGTGGGCGGGTGTTCAGAGCTAGTACTTCCCAACGGCTGAAGCTTTTTCGCTTCACTCGCTCACTGGTGTTGCGAAAGTGGTATAGTTTTTTTAGCCTTGGGCTGGACTACTTCCACAAGACAGCTACGAACTACGCGAGCGTGGGAACTTTCTTTAAGAACTAGTACTGTCTTTAGCAGTCAACCTTTGATAGCAATCATGCAGATAAGATTTCATGGAAATTTTTATTATCAATAAATTAGCTAGATCCCTATGCTGCACAATTCCACAGCAGTACAAACCTACACCATTCTATACTTGTCTAGTACCACGTATGAGAAAAACATTAATTTTAACAAAGCTCGATCTCTGAGATGAAAAATCAGTAACTAATCTGTCTCAGTGCATAACCTGAACTATCTGATCTATATTATACAGGCTAACAAAATAAAGAGTTTCTGTAATTGAGATACATAATGCCTGACTTCTACATCTACAAGTAAAATATTCTAAGCAGAGGTCGCACTATAGGAGGAGGCGGGGCCATCGGGGAGGATCACGGACAGCAGGCAGTGGCTTACAGAGGAACGGTACGCCCCTCACGCACTAAAGCTGCTAGCACTAAAGCTGCTAGCGTCGGCCCCGGACATACTCTCAGAAGCGACCTTTCAACTTCTTAAACGCTATAACAGAAAGAAATGTAAGTAAAAGACAAAACGGGACTCAAATTTTGGACTACCGAACAAACAGATGAGTAATCGGTGAATAATTACTAACGTCTCTAGTGTTTCTACAAACTAATGAAATAACGTCAGAGATTCCTATTGAAGATTATTAATGAGCATATTCGTCCATTCTATCAAAATCTGATCCACTAAACTGCCCTTATTGGGGTTTGCACTTTCCAAAAAAGCTGTGTGACCGCCACCACGTGTTTACAACACCCACGGATTCCACGCTATCGCTTCCATTCATCTCTTCGGTAGGGACGCTAATAAAAAGTTGTAAGAGTCGGTATTTCTTTGATAAAATTCGCGGAAATAAAGAAGAAAAAGAGGCTTAAGTCGGTTCATATCTGCAGCACTGTTCAGGCTTCGAGCGTTCGTCAGCGCCAGCGATTAGGAAAGGCATAGATATGAATTCCGCTAACGCCAGCGTCCACCAGCGTCTACCAGAGTCCACCAGCGTCCAGAAGAGTATGGGGGAGCAGGAAGGTAGCGGACTGGCAGAGTATGGGAAAGTAGGAGGGCAGCACTATTGGTCGAGCATGATGAAGTAGGAGAGAGCAGATACTGAATTAGGTGTCGTGAAATCGCAGCATGCGCGATCACACTTTGACAACTGCTGAAGCACAGAATCATGCAATAATGTACGGTGTTGTGCGCAGTGCGGGCGGCTGCACATGCCGCAGTTCCACGACTACTAATCCAGCTGCCTGCTCTCTCCTACTTTCAAATATTCTACAGCATCCTGCTTCTCCTATTTTCCATACACTCCGCTCCTAGACGCTGCTGGGCGCCACGGTTCGCTAGATCGATATCTATACTTTCCTAGTCTCTGCTGGACGCTGACAGACGCTGGCATCCTAAAGCAATATCTCTACTTTTGATGACCGACGTCGACGCACGCTCAAGACGCTCTTTACCGCTGGTGGACGCTGAAGCAAAGTATGAACGCAGTTTTAGGGAACGAGAGACAATGATGCAGAAAAATACAACCAAAAAATAAGTGTTGCTTCGGTACAAATGAATTGTTGCTTAAAGGCAGAGTCTGCGTTCAGCTGAGATTTTCTTCTCCCTTCGTGAGCAGGTAGTCAGGTTCGCAGAGGCAACAACGGCACCACTTTCGCGGCGCAAAAACGAGTGAGGAGGCTCGCGATGCCGTCATTCTTCTCATTGGCCCAACCTACAATCATTGGCACCGCCCCTCTCATTCCTAATGGTTATCTGATGGTGCGGTTGTTTCGCTGCTGCTTCTCTCCACGTCGAGTGGTGAGAGTGAGGTGATAAGGGAAAACAGCTGATATCAACAAGTGAGAACTCGTGCGACCGCACCTTCTCTTCGCCTTGAGCACGTACAACCTCAGTTAAGCAAGGGGTTCTATATAGAGCCTTTCCTATGATTTCTTTCTGATTTTTCTTCACTAAGGGGTTACTTGCTACCTTGTTATAAGTATTGAAGCCGCATAACCCATAAAATTTGAGTGCGGGCTCAGCCTTTGAATGAATTAATAGGCATTGAGTATCATACCTTCCCGTGGACTGAAGCAATCGTCATCAGCATTCAGGCAGAGCGTAGGAACGGGGATCTTTTTCACCTAAAGAAAATAGTGGTTAGTGGTAATGATGCTATGTGACAATGCAATCGTAATTCTCCGCACTATGCGTAGCGAGCGACGCCGTGAATGCGAGAGACGGGCTGCCCGGTCCTGCCGTCTGGATTTAATAATTAGAGTGACGGAAAAGCTCGATATTACTCGGCGTGGAGTCTTGCCTTCGCTTGATTCACATTAGTTTCAGTGCTCCAATCGACAGCTCCCTGCAAGCCGCGCCTGATGGAGTAAAAGGCTATTTCTTGTCCGTCTCCCAAACCGGAGAAATGGCGCTATTCACCCTTTACTACACCACATTTCCAAAACTGTGTTCCACGCTTCTCGAAGGTTGGCCCTAGAGGTGGTTTTACACAAAAAATCCTCCCAGAAAGCAATTCTACTCCAGAACACAGATAACGCAAACGTTTGGCGCAACAACGACAGCGACGTCTGTAGCGCAGAGAAAAGATGTTTTTCGTTCAAAAGAAAGATGATATTTGCGTTCAGAAAACAACCAAGACATATTTCCCGCTAAATCCATCCCTAGACAAATTCCACAGTAATTACCTAAGTTTCACAAAATAGGGCAGTAGGGGTGAATCGTTCGGCGACGAACGAGGGGGTATTTTGCTCTTTCGCTGCATCCCATAGTCGTGCTCATTGATTTACAAAAATTGACAGAAATTCTCTAAAAGAGCTGATAAGTAATTTCCACAGATCTCTGACTGATAGCTCACACGACAATGAGGAAGCACTTACAGTGCAAAATAGCTCCCTTCTCAGCTGCCGAACTGCGCAAAAAAGTATATCTGTATATCTAACCCACCTTCTTGTTCGGTGCCGCATGATCGTAGTAGTGATCCACTGACTCATATCCAAAAAGTGGTGCAGTAAAGCGAGTGTCAAACTCCCGTATGGTCACTGATTTCAGAACGTTATCGAAGTCCATCATTTCATGATTTTCAAAGTGTTCTCTATATCTAAAATATCACCATATAAAAATCGGACAACAAAAAAAAGACAAAAGCAGGGAACGGCGCAGTTTGGCGACGGAGGGAGGGGCATATGGCACTTTCCGCTCCTTCACTAGTTCCACATTACAAGTGTCACTCTGGCGAAACCTGTCAACTCTTGGAAGCTTACGGATTACTCCACGAAATGAATATCACTATGAATTAACAGAACTTGACAGGTATGCTTTACAAGATTTAACGGGTGGTTCCTACAAACTTTGGCTGGCATCATTTCGCGGCTTCACAAAGTTTCACGGGTCTCCATTTTATGGCTTAACACTTCAACGGAAATAACCAAAAGTGGGAAATGCCCCCCCCCTCCTCTCCCCAACGCCGGAACAGCGCCCAAGGAACACGGAACGTTCGCGACAAAATACTAGTGTCGACATACGGATACGATTTGTACATCATAGAAATTTGGGGTAAAAGTCCACAGTCACCCCACTTGAGCAGCGACCCAATTTTTACCCAGAGGGCAGCTTTCTTTCAAATGCTTATTTCCATGACACAATAAAAAAAAGAACGTGAGCATTATTTGGATGATGGGGGCATTTTGCACTTTGGTAAGACCTGTTAAGTTCTGTGAATCTGCGAAATTGTGTGAGTTAGCGGAAGGTTAACGGGCTCTACAGATTTTGACAAAGTGGCTTGTACAAGCTGTACCACTCCGTGCCCCACCAGCTAAACAACAGCGAAATGTGAAAATACCGTACCTCTCTGCAAATGATACGAGTTTCTTCGTCAGGTGCCGATTATATACGTGTTTTGCAAAGAAACGCTGGAAAGATAAGCCAAGATCACGCAACAAGAAGTCTTCTGGACCAAACCCTTCATACCTCCAAAGAAGTTGTTGTAGATAACGGATCAAAAGGAGCAGAAACAATCAGTGCACCAGACAGGACAGCAGATTCCGCTGTACAAGTTGCTAGGTAATTCCACAGCACCATCCTTCAACAGAACAAAAACAGTTATTTATAAATAAGAATTAATTGAGGGAAAAATGACACCAACCCTCCCATGCTAAAACCGCAGCCAATCATCTTTGCATTGGGATATCTCGAAGAAACCCGCTGTATTACCTCAGCAACATCGTCATGACGTACTGAGTTGTAGGCTCTAAATAAATGAAGATAGCTTATTCCTCGTTCGCCTAATGAATGTAGTGATCAGTCTAGAGATCTTAGGGAACGCTCATACTTCGCGTCACTCTTTTGAGCGTGCAGCAGCGTTTCGAGCGACTGCCCGCAAGAAATTTGAAACTACCCACGGAACGCTTGAACTGGACTACTCCTGAAGACAAGTCGTGTGCAAAAGCATTTCAAGTTTAGTATATAACCCTTAATCACTAGACAAGTACTGCTGACGCCACCTTTGGTTTATTATCTACTCTGCGGCGCGCGCCCTGTATCAGTTCACTTTTAATTTCCGTTAGTTTTTGCCAACTTGAAGCTTCGGTTTATATGTATAGTGAACTGTCTCTCCTTCAAAGTTATCTCCCTCAGCACCAGAATATCTAGCTTGACGGTCCCCTGGCTGAACAACTTTAGCGCTCGAAAAACGCTTAACGCCTGAGCCGTAAAGAAGGTCTGCTTTACAATAGGGACGAAGGCCGCCAAACAATATTGCCGCAAAGCGCATATAACAGTCGATAAGACCTCGCGATTCTAAAGCAAATTATAAGTGACGTGATTAAACTAAACGTAGGTAATAAGGTGTTGAATGATCCATCAAACTATATGGCGTGTTACGGGGGCGTGGCCTGAAGCGCAGCAAGGGCAGATTTCCCACCAATTGTAGCTGGCGTACGATGGCATCTTTCGTGGGAAAAGGCCGCCCTGGCTCCGTTCCGAACCACAGCGTGTCAGATGTCTTCCCGTTTGCAGGGGTCATTTCTAAAGTGTTGGAAAAGAGTAAAACCGTAGCCGGCAAGGAAGTGTCAGCGAATTTGTTAATTCGAAGTGTTTTGGCGCCGGAACCACGCGTTTTCGTCCCAAACAAGGCCTAGTCAAAACACGATAACTCAACCAAATCTATCGATTAGGCGAAATCCGATAAATTTTTCAATCTGAATTGTAAAAGCGAGCCAGTAATTGATAAACGGTAGCGATCATTTCGAATGGCAAAGTAAAGAACTCACATTTTATTCCGTAGTTGAACTCCTCCAAGCCCACGTGGATTATACACACTACCCTCCATTTACGTGCATACATTTCTTGAGCTGGATACAATATATACGCACAATCTCGGGTTGATCCTGTATACCATCTAATAATAATTAATTATACAGTACTTCTCGACACTATTGATTGGTTAGCTGTGTCGAAAACAGTAGTGTGGGTGCTCGTTGAGAAATTCATGCTGCAGCTCAACGCGCAAGCGCACAATTTATTTATTTTTTGGTACGCTGTTTAAGACAACGCAATTTAAAGGCACGGTCCGCGGTAAAAAGGTGATTTAGCAGAAGAAAATTCGCCAAGTGGA